ACCGCAGCCTCGACCTGCTGGGCTCTGGCCATCCTTCCGCCTCAGCCTTCCAAGTAGCTGCAACCACAGGTGTGCGCTACCACACCTGGCTGATTTTTTAAATTTATTGTAGAGACGAGGTCTCGTCATGCTCCCCAGGCTGGTCTCGAACCCCCGAGCTAGGCAATTCTCTCACCTTCACTTCCCAAAGTGCAGGTATTACAGGCATGAGCCACCACACCCAGCAAAATACTTTTTTTTTCTTTTTTTGAGTCCGAGTCTCACTCTGTTGCCCAGGCTGAAGTGCAGTGGCATGCTCGCCGCGACCGCAGCCTCAACCTGCTGGGTTCAGGCGATCCTTCCGCCTCAGCCTTCAAAATAGCTGGAACTACAAGCACACGCCACTACGCCCAGCTAATTTTCTGATTTACTGTAGAGATGAGGTCTCGCCAAGTTGCCCAGGCCGGTCTTGGATCCATGAGCTCAGGCAATCCTCTCAATTTGGCCACCCAAAGTACTGGGATTATAGGCATGAACCATCATGCTCGACCTTACTTTCTTTTCTTTTTTTTCTTTTTTGAGTCAATTTCTCACTCTGTCACTTAGACTGGAATGCAGTGGCACTATCATGGCTCACTGCAGCCTCTACCTCCTTGACTCAGGCAATCCTGCCTCAGCCTCCCAAGTGGCTGGGACTACACGAATACACCACTACTCCCAGCTAATTTTAAATTTTTTTGTAGAGATGGAGTCTCACTATGCCGCCCAGGCTGGTCTTGAACTCCTGGGCTCAAGCAATACTTCTGCCTTGGCCTCCCAAAGTGCTGGGATTACAGGCATGAGCCACTGACACAGCCAATGTGTACCCTTTCAAGGAGTTTGTGATTGCCAGGTGAAGATTCCCTGAGCAAGCCCACCTCTTGATTTTCCAGATGAGGAAGCTGAGCCCAAAGGAACCAGACTTCTCTGCTGTGCTCAGCAGTGGAGCAAACAGGCTGGGGGTGGGGGAGGCCTAGGCCGGCTGCCAGCTGATGGCAGACTCGAGTGGGGTGTGCAGAAATTCAACGTTGCATGCACACTGCATCTGACTCTGCCTCCCGGTCTGCAGTTTCCGGGCGTGGGAGGGTGTGATTCAGATTGGGGTGCGGCAGGGGCACAGAGCACAGCTGTGACTGCAGGACTGTGAGCTGGAGCGGGGGTCAAGGGGCTCTGCCTCCTAGGGCCGTCTCTGAGGCTCAGACAGGGATAACCCAGGCAGACTCCCTGCACAGCACACAGAGGGCCGAGGCTGCCTTCCTTGGCCTCCTCAGCTGGTGCTTCTAGCCTGCCCAAGTGCTGGGTGGGCAGGGGGTGGCAGTGGAGGTTGAAGAAGGCCAGAGTGGCCAAAGGGACTGGCTCCAGCAAGATGGGTGGGGTTACACAGGGGGCTCGCTCTGTCTCTCCCCGCTCCCAGTACCCAACTCTTTGTCCTTTTTGGCCTCCCTGTCTCTGGTTCCCAGACTCCCCCTCTTCTGACATCTCCCCTGAGCCCAAGTGACTTTTGTCCCACACGTACATGCCAGGTGAAGTCAGCCTGGGGTGGAGGGTGAGGGGCAAGTGTGGGTCAGAGACAACAGAACCAAGGGTGGGATGGCACTCCCAGTGGGTTCCTGGATGCAGAGGCGGGCAAAGGCCACGAAGGGGTCACCAGCTGTTCCCGGTCCCACCCCTCCCCCGCCTGCAAGCATGCTATTGGTGGCTCAGCCACCCGAGAAAGCTGTGCTCAGCAGTGTGGCAAACCCCGGAGAGCAGGGGGCGTCCAGGCGTCCAGGCCCGCTGCCGGCTGGTGGCAGACACGGCAGGTGTCACAAGGTGTGGCTGCAAGGCTCTGGCTGTCTTCAGTGAAGGGGGCTCTCAATCCTTGGAACCGCTGCCCTGGGATCTCAGGGTGTCTCTGTCCCCACCATATTGATTTAAGGCATTGAGGGATCCGAAGCAGAGGAGGAAGAGAGTTGAACTGGCAGGAGAAAGATAAGGTTTCTGGGACTCACTTGATCTCTCACTTCCTGGGTGACCCTGGACAAGTCAGCCCACTGTAGGCCTTAGTTTCCCCACATATAAAAAGGGCAGGGTAGAACTAGATGATTATGACCTTAGATACACCAGCTAACCTCTCTGTGCCTCAATTCCTCATCTGTGGAAAGGGGACACCCCCACTTTTCTCACTGGGCCGTTGAGAGGATCAAATACTGTTAAGTTCCTGGCACCTGTTGATGTGAGTTCACTCTTTTTAAGCCTTGAGACCTCCCGGTGCGGTGGCTCACGCCTGTAATCCCTGCACTTTGGGAGGCCGTGGCGAGAGGATTGTCTGAGTCCAGGGATTCGAGACCAGCCTGGGCAACTTGGTGAGACCTCCTCTCTACAATCAAAACCAAAAACTAGCTGGGCAGGGGGTGGCCCGCATCTGAGGTTCCAGCTACTTGGAAGGCTGAGGCAGAAGGATCGCCTGAGCCCTTCAGGCTGATGCTGCGGTGGCTGCTAACATGCCACTGCACCCCGGCCTGGGCGACAGATTGATACACCCACTCCTTTCAAAGGCTTGAAACCGGACCTTCGACCCCTCCCTCCCCTCCCTAAGATACTCTGGGTTTATATTTAAGGATCAATAAACATGCATTAACTGCTAACCAAACTGGCTGTATTATACAGAAGCCTATCCAAAAATTATAGATATAAAAGGTCACTTCTGCGTGGAGGAGGTGGGCTGTATAAACTTACCAGAACTTATAATCTAGTCAGTGTTTATTAAGTGTGTAGAACAGATACTGTGATATGTGTTTCATGGCCAGGAACAGTAGTTCATGCCTGTAATCCCAGCACTTTTAGAGGCAAGGCAGGAGGA